AACTAACTTCAATTCAAGTCGATACATCGAAAAGAGGCCGAATGGCAACTACATTTCCGCTCCGGGTCCCGCGGACCCAGCATGACCAATATGTTATTTTTCTTTGAAGCCGGTCTCTCTCCGTTTGATTTGTTAAACGCTATTACTTCTAATAAGTTAGATACACTGTTTTCAAATACTTGTGTAGCTTTACGAATATTTTGTACTCTGCCAGTTTCTGCTAGTGGTGAGCGTTTTTTTAGCGTTCTGTCCAGGATTAAAAATTTTCATCGCTCCTGTTCTACACAAACGCGTGTAACAAACGTAGCTTTTACGAGTTAAATTTAAATATTATGCTATTAATATTATTATATTAATTATTAAAACTAAAAGCATATTTGTACATACATATCTATTAATGAATAAGATATTGTATGTATAATTGCTAAATATTTAGCTGACGCTGGCATGTTAAGACATTATCATGTCGTTTTATAATCATGTTAATTATAAAACGTTCTACGAATAATTTTTATGATGACAATTATTAAAACGACGTAATAATATTATTTAAAAATACAACATCTGGAATGACCTCACAAATTTTAAAAAGAAAGTTGAATCTTCTAAATATTTATTTGCACTATTGTGCGACATTAAATGATTTATTATGTTAACACAGCTGCAAGTAATTAGGTTGTATTTTTCAACCGTCATTGAAGTTCAAATTTATATCTGATGTCAATAACGTATAAATTAAGTTATTATAAGAGATAACATATAATCAGTAAGCAAAAACATTGCTTCGTTGTTTAAATTTGGAATAAATTTGTAGAAAAATTGCATATTAGTGACGACTTCATTGATTTTAATGACCTTGATATATATTATCAAGATTATCGCTCTGAGTAACATTTTAAAAGTAATAGTTGTTCGCAATTATTAAAAGTTATTATATTAAAACAATTGATTTTTACAAAACTACATACTAGATAGTAGATACAAATAAAAATGTCAAAATTTTTATACAAAATTTGCAAAGGTGAATTAAAAATCGTGCACAAAAGTAGTTTATAACTTTTGAAAGCATGAATCTTTACTTTTAATTTGCATACTTGTATAAGATTTCGTCACTGAATTATTCAAAATTGAAACAGAAACAACCTTTTTGCTTTAATGTTGAATTATAGCTTGAAAGCTGCAAACCATATTTGTCTGCAATTTTTAATTTACGCCATGGAATTTTGCAAAATTTATAAAAAATTTTAAGATTTGACTATCTTCATTACAAAAAATTAATAAGTTGTTTTCTAATGTATCGGTCTAAAATGTAAAGACTTTATAAACTGTAAAATTCTTTCTGAAAAATCTCATTATGATTATTTCTGTTGAAGTTATCCTTTTTTGAAATTTGCCTATTTTTGAAGGGCAGACTTAATCCTTCAATTTTGTTGAGAAGTTTAGAGTATTTTATATGCAATTATTATGTTGTGTTGGCAAATGAATTCGTTTGATTGTTGCTTCAGTGCAGGTTCATCCCGATATACTCTTTTTTTTTCTAGGCGCTATTGCACAACTCGAATGTGCATTTGTTTTACACAACCTGTCTGTGAATTTTGATGTCGCTAACTTCAGTATTGTTGCATATTGCGCATAACTGTGAAAATGGAAATAAATAACGTGCATTATTGTTATATTTTGCTGTATTATATCAAAAACAGGCAAACAATCAGCAAAAATTCATAAAAAGATGTATATGAGGATGCTGTTTTAACAGAGCGCACATGCCGAAAATGGTTTGTCAAATTCCGTTTTGGAGATTTCGACGTGAATGATGTGCCCCGCTCCGGTCGCTCGTCCGAGATTGATGTCAAGATCATCCTCGATAACAATCCATCCTAATCAGTGCGGGAGATTATTACGGCACTGAATATATTCCACACAAGCGTAGAAAACCATTTGCGTCAGTTACGATATACATTTCTTGGCTCAATGTTTGAGTGCCGCATAAATTAACCGAGGCCAAAATTTGAATCAATTTTGGGCGATCAGAGCGAGACGCATCATTAACGTCGAAATCTCCAGAACGGAATTTTACAAACTATGTGCGCTCTATTCGCAGCATTATCTTTATATACACGACATATCTTTTTATGAGCCTGTGCAGATTGTTTGTCTTTTTTTATATAATTGAACAAAATATAACGATAATGAACGTTATTTCTTTCCATTTTCACAGCTATAATACACAGCGCCCAACAATACTAAAGTTAGCCATACTAAAATTCACAGACAGGTTGTATAAAACAAATGCATATTCGAGTTATGCAATAGCACCGAAAAAAAAGGAAATCGGAATGAATCTGAAGCAAAAATTTGCCAACCCAATATAATATAACTTATACATTATTATATTTAATTTATATGTATATATTTATACGCAAATTGATTGAATAAAATTTAAAACTTTATTATAAAATAAAGTTTCATAAACTTTGTAGAAATAATTGTAGAAAAAGTAACCAAAAGCAATATTTAGAATAAAAAATTAAGTAATTTATCTAATAAATTAATAAATTTATTTGATAAAAAAAATAACGTTATAAACAAATTATACCAATTATTATTAATTAGAATTTATTACAGATTTATAGAGTTTAAAATTAATTTATTTAAAAATAAAAATTATATAGGAATATTATTTTCGAGAAAAATTATAAAATAAAAATTAATCTAATCTTTTTAAACAGTTATTGTACTATTCTATTGCTATGACAATTTTGAAGAAAATAAATATGATATATTAATATAGATCCATCATTAAATTTTATAATGTAATAAATAAAGTGCAATAAAACTTTTGATTCATTTACTTCATATGATTCGCTGCATCCGATAAGATAATTTATCTTTAATCATTAATTCCTTATTACCAATGACTTATCGGAGAATTTGCATAGGTATATAAAGTAGATCAAGACGAATATTCGTGTTACAGTTTGTACTGAAAATTTGTTTCTCATCCGCCGTTGATGATACAAAAAAGATGGCATTCACAAAATTATTTGTTTTGACACTGGTAATCGCTATTAATCTGCAGGAAATTTATGGACACGGAATGATGATGGACCCTGTAAATAGAAGTAGTGCATGGAGAAAAGGCTTTCCCGTAGAACCCAACTATACTGATAATGAGCACTTTTGCGGTGGATATGGTGTATGTATACGAAGTTATAAAATCGAAAAAGAAAAATATTTTGTGGAAAATTGATATTTTCTTAATCAAATTATTAAGATATTCAATAGTTTGCTATTTTCTGCTACGTTTAAAAAATTTGTCAATATATCTTTTTTGACACTTTACGACATACCATATATATGTCATAATATTGAAGAATAATAGATAGTAATGTATAACAATAAATATAAATTTATACAGAGTATTTGACAGATGTAACATTGCTCATATATGGGCAAGTAGAGCAAAATTTAATTAAATTTAACTGAACAAAATAGTCCTGTACTATTTTGCAATTCTCGCAATAGTTAACGATTCATTTATAAAAGTTTACTAATCAGCGTGCGTTTTCGAGAATTACTGTTACTTTCATGTTAAAAAAAATTGTAAAATTAAACGGACTATACCTTCACGTGGTGCATTCTAGTTAACGTAACATTATAGATTTTCAATACTGGTAGTAACTATCACAATGTAGCCTAAGAGATATAGAGGTATTGACAAAATATTTCTCAAAAATTAAATTAAAAATATAATATAAAATGAGAAAGTAAAAAGATAAAAAAGTAACAATAAAAATAATGGCAAATTTATTAATTACCGTAAATTACTATAAAAATGTAATAACGTTATTGTTACAGATAAAAAAAAGTAACGATTGTTACTGAAAAAAAATAACAAAAATGGTAACGGCGTTACAACATGGTAATGCGTTACTTTCCAACTCTATTTATTTTTTATTATTTTTTGTATATACGAACAAAAATTATACAAAAGAAAATTTTATGAATGTATAATTATATGTATGTATATATAAATATATATAAATGTTCTTATATAATAACATTTTTATTGGATTATTATTTAACAATAATATAATTACCTTAAAATACCTTATAAAACAAAAGTTAGATATACGTATATATGTATAATAAGAAAATGGTTTGATAATAATATAATCAGAAAAGAAAAGAGAAAGAAGATATGTATATCAATTAATTACATTAAAAAATAAATAGATATAATTTCTTATTAGATTCAACACGGGAAAAATGGTGGCAAATGCGGAGAATGCGGTGACAATTATGCTTTACCTCGACCACGGCCAAACGAAAATGGCGGCATCTACGGATCAGGCGTCATCGTTCAAAAGTAAGTAAATCGTATAATATAATAACGTAATTCAACAAAAAAAGAAACATTATAACAAGACATTTCTCACTATAACAAGTCATTTCTCGTAGTTTTTTTGGACGCTGAATTCGAATCCGGTTATAAATTGCTGTATCACGTTATAATTTTGAAAAATTTGCAGATAAAGTTGTAAAAAAGGGCCATTTTCACATATTCTATCACATTATAACTTCGAAATGCAATGTGCTGGAGAAATGCTCTTGCAAACAAAATTAAATATGCAGGGTATCCCACCTCTACCGCATTTCCTTTTAAGAACGTGTTTCTGAGATAATTTTGAGTCGAAAATTCTAATACAAAAATGTCGAGACTATAATACTTTTCAAGTTATAAACGATTTAAGTTAACCAATATTAACGGCTAAAATTCGCGCGCTCAGGCACGGCACATCGGATGGCCTCGTTTATAAAGATCAATACACGAAACTAACTTCGTGACTAACCTAATGACTAACTGACTTAATAAATAATAAATAATACTTAAACTTTATAAAAAACTATACATATAATACGGCCTCAAATAATTAAAAAATGATTTGAATTGAAATTCTTTATTTATATTCATGCCTTGATAAAGGGATAGGCTCATATAGATAAAATATCGTAAATTTTTTAATTATTTGGGGCCATATTATATGTACAGTTTTCTATAAAGTTTAAGTATTATTTATTAAGTCATAACTCACGAAGTTAGTTTCGTGTATTGATATTTATAAACGTATTATAAAGCCGTCGGATGTGCCGTGTCTGAGCGTGCAAATTTCAGCTGCTAATATTGGTTAACTTAAATCGTTTATAACTTGAAAAGTATTATAGCCTTGACATTTTTGTATTAGAATTTTTTACTCAAAATTATCTCAGAAACTCGTTTTTAAAAGGAAATGCGGTAGAGGTGGGACACCCTGTGATTTGTTAGCATTTTCAAAAAGAAGTTTTTGTGTCCATTATGGTTAACAAATTATTTATTGTTAAACATAGGATTTATTGTTGAAAAGCTGTGAATGAAATCATTAACAGTTTATCAAATAATTTCCAATTTTGTTTATTTCAACTTAAATGTTTTTTAAATTATTGAATATAAATCAAATGTCAAAATTGACAAATTGCAAATGGCGGATTCAATATGTCAAAACTTAAAAAAATGTTTAAAAATGTGTGTGTGTGTGTGTGTGTGTGTCACATATAGGTTCTACATTGAATTTGTATTAAGCAATTTTAAAAATTTAAGTTGAAATAAATAAAATTGAAAGTTGTTTGATAAATTGTCAATGATTAATTAATTCACAGTTTTTCCGCAATACACACCATAAAAATAAATAACTTGTTAACCATAACGGACACACAAAATTTCTTTTGAGGGTTAAAAGTCATAACAATTAAAGTCCGACCGAACATTCGGTTTAGGTTATTTCGATTACGGCTAGTTCCCACTAAACACACTTTGTAACAATTACGTTACCTGGAAGTAACAAGTAATGTAACAATTGTTATGTTATTAGTACATCCGAAAGATATAACTTGTTACTTTCATGTTACTATTTCAAAGTTACATGTAAAAGTATATCATTGTAATATAACTTTTTTACGTTAGAGTAACATTATGTAAATATATCTTCGATATAAATGTAACGTTAAATGTTATTTTTATGTAACATATTTTACATATTTTATTTTTTGAATTAGAATAAAGATTTATAAACATTTATAAATTATAATATTAATTGCTGTGTCATTCTTCTGTGAATCAACTTTATAATTGGTTTATTATAATAAATAAAAATCTTTCTATTTATAAATAATAATTTTACAAAAATATCTTTTTAAATCTTTAAGAAGATAATAGATTTAAAAATAACCAAATTTACTTAAAGTAACAAGGACTCCTTAAATATAAATAATGTGTTTAAAAATGGGCTGTTAGGAATCGGCGCGGTAAATAGTGCGCAAATACATATGTGAACGGCTTGTATTAGACAATAATATAATTTACTTTGGATGGGGTTTTACGTATGGGATGTCAGGTATACAGTTGACCCTTCTCAGTTTCCTCCGAGTTTTTCTGCAGCAGTCGATACCGTCAACAAAGTGCGTTGTAATTTTTGTGACGGGCGAAAATTCAGCAGTTTTGATCACAGCAAATTCTGCGTGAAACTGGGAAAATCTAGTTCCGAAACGTTGGAGATGTTAAGCTTATAGAGACGCTGCTTTGTCTTTAGAATTTGATAGCGTAACGCTGTTCAAGACTGTGCTGCATTTTCGCCCGTGACAAGACATAAAAATTACAACGCACTTTGTTGACGGTATCGACTGCTAGAAAGGTTCGGAAGCAACTGAGAAGAGTCAGACTGTATACCTGACATCCTGCACCAAAGATCCGGCCCAATGGATTCACCCTCCGACAATTCTAATTAAGCCGTCAAAAATAGTTTCATTACTTTTGGGACAGACCATGTATATGTGTTAACATCAAGATTATAGGCCTAAATTAATATTCATAGTCGATTCTATTTCGTCTTAGGTAATGTCTTAAGATATAATATGGCTCTATAATAATTATAACATCTTAAAATTGTAAGTATCTAAAACGATCTTAAATATAGAATAGGAATCAGCTACGAATACAAGTAATTATATCATATAAATGACAATTCCCATCAGAGCACTGCTTGGCGTCAAATATGGCGTATACATATAAAAATCTATGGTCCATATTACTCATTTTTCATTTATTTCATATTTTTGTTACTGTAAATGTTATTTATATTAAATAAAAATATAAAATATTAATGATATAACTGATACAATTTAGGCGACCGCACTTAGTAACTCTTCCCTATATACATATTTAATTTTATTGATAATTATAAATTACTCAAATTAGTGCTAATTTACATCAAATCTTTTGTACGAGGAAATGTCTTGGCAAATTTCTTTTTACATTTTTTTAAAAGATAATTTTGTACAAATTTATAGTACTTTTATTTAAGATGCTAAAACGCCATACAGTACAAAGCCTTGGTGCTTATAATAATATTATAATACATGAATCTTACAATTCAGGCAAAATGCGCGCCGCATAATTGTCAGTCTTTAAAACGCAACTCCAAACTGAATAGTAACGTAATATCACGATTAAATTGCTAAACAATCTAAACTGAGTCTGAACTGAGAATTGTAAGATTTACATATTATAATATTATTAAGCACCAAGATCCGCTTTGTACCGTGTTGATGTTTTCGCATCTAAAAAAAACTCCACGATCGATTCTGATACTTAGATATTTTATTTATTTCACAATTTTAACAATATTTGCTTAAAATCAAATATGATTCTGATTTTTTGCAGGGTTATCTCAACTCCTAAATGTTCAAGAGCATTTTTAATAAATCTTTTATTAAGTTATTTTAAAAATATCCTAAGTCTATTAAAATTGAAGTTTATTTTTTTTAATATGTCAGATCACTATTATAGAACATACAAATTATTGAATATACATTACAAAGAATGTTATATTATATATCATTCACGTAGGTACAATGAAGGTTCTGCCATCGATGTTACTGTTCGCCTCACCGCTGCCCACTTGGGTCACTTTGAATTCCACCTTTGTCCACTGAAAACGGAAAAAGAATTAGAAACCGATGAATGCTTCTATAAGTATCCCTTACCACTGGCTGATGGCAGCGGCTTTAAATATCCCATTACTACCTACGGTGGGAAAGAATATATTATCAGCCTGGTTCTACCAAAGGGTGTCACATGTAAACAATGTGTGCTCAGGTTGGGATTGAGAACAAAATCTCATTTCGTTTAATTTTAACTTTATTAATTCTGAATTTTAAAAAATATTAACTCTTAATTATATGAAAAAAATATTTAATGTTAAATATTGAAGATAGATAAAAACGCGAAACAAAATTCATTGAATACAAGAGCCGACTTTAAATCAATTAAATAATGTAAATATAAATTAAATAATGTAAAATTGATTCTTTTTTTTAGATGGCATTATCGCACCGGAAACACCTGGGGCACTTGTGAGAATGGAAAAAAAGGCATGGGTTGTGGCCCCCAGGAATCATTCAGAAGCTGCGCTGATGTCTCTATCTCAAATTAATTTATCACGGACTTTAAATCAAATCTATCGGATTATGTTATTTCAAAAATATTGACTTATGCTTGTAAGAATTTTTGTATAAAGAAATTAAATTTTTCAGTTGCTGAGAAAAATCTTTAATCTAATCAAAATCTGATAGAATAAATAAGGAAAGTGGTAAAAGTAACATATTTGGATTCAAATAGAGTAGATTTTCTTTGCTCCTAAAACTCAATTTCAGAAAATTGATAAGAAATATTTAAAAGTCTAATTTACTTTTCAATAATTCAAGAAGTTGAATTTATTTGCATATTTGAAGCCTAATCTGCATATTATTTAAAAAATATATAACTTTTTTATTTTAGAAGCTGCAATTTATTTTACTACATATTTCAATAGTACATGCATATGTTGTATTTGAAAAAAAAGAGGAAGAATAATAAGTCATTAATCTCCTAATAAAAACCGTATATTTTATTTGTAACAGCACTTCTAATAGTAATATTTTTTACACTTTAATCTTAATTATTAATTATTTTTTAAATATTTTTCAAAATTATTTTTGAATATTTTTTCTTTTTCTATTTACAAACACGTACTTACATGTATAAATATTATTAATTATTACACATTCTTAAATGTTAAGTAATATTATTATATTGTTTAATAAAGATATTTTCAGAAATTGTAATATTTTTTTTTTGGAATCTTTAAATATTATTTAGAATATTATTTACATGATACTCACTAATTAAAATACAAAAAATTTTATTTATTTATTTAAATCCTTGCCTTGCAGCTTAAGATAACTTTTAATGTACATACAACTTTCTTTTTCACATTTTTTTATATCATTAGTTTCGCCTATTGCATATCTTGTTTCTCTTTACTTTTATCTATAAATATACATATATATGTATGTATGTATGTATGTATGTATATACAATATATACAGGGTGTCTCTTAATAGGTGTATCACCGCTCATGAGTAAATAGAATGAACTAAACTGAATCGAAAAGTCCTCTACCATTTTGTAAAATTCACAATATTTAACGAGATATTAATTTTTTAATATCGCCGAATGAGCGAGTCCGGCCTACCGCCAATACTAGCGCGCGACCGTCCATGAGCCGCTCGACGCACAGCCATTTTTGCTGTAATAAATTCACCGAGTTTTTTTTATTATTTATAATGCGAAGGAATAGCATTTAATATAATTGAAACTCGGCTTAAAAGGCCAAGAAGTGAAACAAAAAAAGATTTCCAGCAATAAATTATTTTTATAAAACAATTGTTATGTACCATAATAAATTGATAATTAATTTAAATAAAATAAAAATATAAAAAAACGATGTTTTTTATTTTTTAGGAGGGGTAGATATTCATTAAAAAATTTTCGCTTGTCACCAAAATTTATCATTTTTTATGCCTTTTCTGAAAATACTTGCACAACAGGGGGTAAGAAATTGCTCCACCCTATTGTATACGTAAGGCGATCTTATTTGAAATTATTGTTATTTACACACGCTTGTCTTTCAGTGCATTTCTTTCTTGTAAATATTAATTATTGTAATAAATATTACCACAGTCTCAGTAGTCGAATGGGTAAGACACCTGCCTCGGATAGGATCGAGAAGTTCTAGATTCAAATTCTGGCTGAGGTAATGTCTTTTGCAATAAGTTCTTTACAGTATTTAAGATGCATGTAAAATCATCATCGAATTGACGATCAATTTAAATTGTAATAATATTTCAGTTTTATGATTGTATTCTTAAAAGCTGAATAATAATTGGTGCGCTGTTTACTGTAGTTGAAATTTAAAAATTTGAAAAAGCATTGGGCATCAATATCTAGCTCCGGCCGAATCTTAAAGATTCTCATTATTACTTGTTGTATACATATATAAAGCGGTCTTACTTGAAATTATTGTTATAGGTCTTAACTTTAAAAAGATATATAATTTTCTAAAAACAGACTGATTCCTGATTGAGTATGTATTGATATAATGGTATTAACTATTATACATGTATAATACTTTCTACCTGATACAAAACATTTCCAAACTGAATAGTAATCGGCGCGTCGTTTAAATTAAGACAAAAAAAATAAATGTATAAAATCCACAAAAAATTTTTATTAAGCACGAGATCAAACAGATGATCAAAAATATCAATATTTATTTAGTTTAATTTTATAGGGGAGACCGGATTGATAGTTTTTTTTAATGATTTTTTTCATATGTAAGTAATACAATATGTAATAAATATATAATAATATGTAATAAATGAAATAAATACCGCAAGGATATTTTTCAATAGCCACATGCTTCAACAACATAGAAATTATTTTTATAATTTAATAATATAATTAATTTTTTTGTACTATATATATATAATGAAAAATGTAAAGTAAAGGATGCAACTTGTAACTTGTAATTGGCTCCATATGCGGGGTCAATTGTTACAATTACTGGGATTAGTCGTTACAAATTCGGATTTCAAAATATAACGCATTTAATTAAAATAAATTAAAAAAATTGTGCATAACATAACTTTATTTATAACTTTTAAATAAAATATACACATTAATGTAAAATTAATGATACAAACGTTTATCAGTCTTTCTCTTACATAAATCACAGTGGAAAAAAGTATAAATATAAGATTGCACTATAAGGACAGACTACAGAAATCTAACATTATTTTAAATTTGTTTCGGTTGAAAACAAAAATAAACACTGTAACAACACACTCCGTCAACCAGTTCCGACTTACCATATTTACACATTTTAATTGTTGCTTAAGCAAAAAATATATTTTAAGACGTCAATATAATTGTAAGTTATTATTTATAAAGTAAAGACTCTAAAGAAATAGTTGGAACTATAATATAATAAGCAGATTTATTTTATTTATTTATTTAAATATAACATTTAATATATCACTGATTTATTTTACTTTTAGCTATCAAAAACTGAAATTATTTTTTATTTCTGAAAATACACTATTCAGTCCGAAATAACTTATTGCAGCATGACTGCAATGTTTTTGCGGAAATACTATATTTTTTATATAGTATTACCATTTGTCATTTTGCAGCAATTTTAAATGTACCAACGTGCCCCATATATCAACCAATCCCGGTCTCCCCTATTATATGCATCTCAGGAATTGTGTGATAGAATGCTATATGACATATTAATCACTATTAATTTTCATAGATTTTCCAATTGTTTTAAATTATATTAGTATTGATAAAACTAGCTATTTTAAATTTAAAACCAATTTATGAAATAAAAAGTCAAACTTTGTTTTTAAATTGGTATTCAATATGATAATTCTTGCTTAATATATTATATCTATTTGTGTTATAAACGTGACACTTTATTATTAAATCCTCGCCATTCACTGTTCAGCGATTCTTTCTAATAATCATGATTTCTGATTTCTAATATAATATTTTTGTAAAAATAAATTGGACTCAGACTGAGGCGTTTATATGGCGCTTAGTGCAAATGTCTATGACCTGTAGCAAGGTTAACGCAGCCGTACCCAGGCTCACAGTAGAAGACGCACACGAAGAAGAGGTAGGCCAATAATACGAGGCTCGTCGGTGAAGACAAATCCCGTTCACCGCTGTGCTGCATTACAGCTCCGGCCTCGGCACGGATCGCCAACGAAACGAGAGAGAGCGGCGGGCAGTCGATCGGTCACCGTGCACGCGTGCTTTCAGTGGTGTCCCCGACAGTGTTTCGAGAACTGCGAACTCTACAAATTCCTTCTTTCTCTCTCTTTCTTTCTTTCTCCCTCTCTTTTTCTCTCTTTCTTTCTTTCTCTCCTTGCGCCTTTCGCATACATACGCACATACAAAGTGGATCGTTCTCTCTTTCTCTCCTCAACATCCAGGACTCTGAAACTCGTTTCAGTCAGCCACGGGTTGTCCGTTGTTCCCGCGTTGTTGGTTCACGCGTTGTTGGTCGCGGGCAACAGCTCGAGGAAAAGAACGTGGATTTGGATTTGTTTTCTTCTTGTTAGTCTATTTCTCATCTTTTTATCGAAAAATTAGTGGGTGTGCATAAACGAGCGAGTGTTTATGTGTATACGTCTGTGCAGAAGAATGCGGTAGGATGCGTATCCAGGAAAGATGTTTCCTGCTGGGTCTCTGCCTCTTAGGCGGGGTCGCCTTTTCTTTCACAGCCGCCAATGCTGAAACGCAAATTACTACGACACCCGGTAAGTTTTCCTTAGGAATAAACTTATTCTGATTGAAAAAAAAAAGTATCTGAAATATTACTTTAAAAATCGCGATAGGCAACGCAAAGTTTTTATATTTAAGAAAGTATTTTTAAAAAACATATTTATTAACATATTTATTAAAAACATATTATGTATTTATGCTAAGGAAATGACTACTGACAATGAAAAAAAAGATTATTGAAATTGTTAACATAAAGTAATAGAACAGTGAAAAATATTTTATTGTGTAAGAACCAATGAAAAATGTTACTTTGTATAAAAATCTTAAAAAATCTCTTCTGTTTTTACAATTATTACATTTATATAACTAAAAAAAATAACTTTGGAAAAAATTATTTAAATTTTTTAGGTACGTCTAAAAATTTAGAAAAATTTTTAATATCTTTGAAAAGATATTTCTTAAAATTTTTTATACTATCTCTCAAATACTCTCATACTTGCGTGATGTAAGTAAATATAAATACTAATAATGAAAACAAGAAAAGTTTAATAAAGTTTTTTTAGACTTTGCTTTTTAATTTTAAATAAGACACTCACTGATATGCATTTTATTTCATTTGCGTAATAATAACAGGCATTCATTAAAGCGTTGAATGAAACGCGTAGGATTGCGTGACACAGTCGGAGATTTTAACGACCATGCAGAAGAGGCGCCCGGATTTCTTAAGCTCTCTTGCGGCAAATCGAACTAATTAAAGAAAATCAGTTCTAGGATACTTGCGGTTTTTTTGCGAATAACTCGCAATAGCGACAATCTGCTTCGTGAGACATTTATGTCATTTATATTTATGTTCAGTCACTTTATATAACAATTGCATACCATCTTATTAGGTGAAAGTTAATTAAGAATAATTTCAACTGTTTGAGTCAATAATATAAAATGTCTACTAAAAGTATATTAAATGTAAAGATTGAAATATTTATTAATGTCTATTTAAATATGTACCTCTATTAAATGTCAATTTCGTCTATGTCTCTTTCTCTTTTTCTGAAAAAGAAACAGAAAAAAACACGTATGCAATAAATATAATTAATATAATTTAATTAATAAATAATACATGTAGTAAAAAATAATAAACAAAATAAACATGTAATAAACAAAAAAAAATATTTGTATTACCGATAAAAACAGATAAACAACATTTACTTGTACTTCATAAATATATCTTTCTTTCTCTCTGTTTTTTCAATGTACAATAATATTTTAGAAAAAAATTTTTAATAAATAAAATAAAATTAAAATTAAGCTTATCAAAACATATTATTTTCTTCCCTGTTAATAATTGACATGATTAAATAGAAAATAATTATATTTTTGGACAGTTATGATTTAAACAAATATTTGATTTTAAACATAAAAATATTTTAAGTAAGTTTCAAATATTAAATACTATTTATTTACCCATATAAATATTAAACGAAATATTTATTACAAATATATTTACTTTTGTTAAAAAAATTATAAATATATTTAATATATATAATTAATATATATATATATATATTAGTATATATATATTAAATATATACAATATATATTAATTATACATTAATATATTAATTATATATATATTTTTAGCAAAAGTAAATATATTTGCAGTAATTATTTAATATTTATATGGATAATAAATAGTATTTAATATTTTAAACTTATTGTTACTATATATATATTTAATATAAAGAAAAAAATCGCCGATACTGTCATAAGTCCTATTTAAAGAGACTATCCACTTATTTTTTCAGAAATTAAACGTTGCACTTTATTATTTGATAAAAACAGATCTTTAGATAATTAAAGAGGTAAAAAGTTATAATTCATACATTTGTTTCTATATAAAACCAGCGAAAACGATTTCTACAAATAGCAAGTATACATATATACAAGGTGTCCCACTTCTACCGCATTTCCTTTTAAAAACGTGTTCTTGAGATAATTTTGAGTCGAAAATTATAATACAAAAATGTCGAGGCTATAATACTTTTCAAATTATAAACAATTTAAGTTAACTTAAGTTAATCAATATTAGCGGCTGAAATTTGTGCGCTCAGGCACGGCACATTCGATGACCTCTTTTTTAAATATTAATACATGAAATTAACTTTGTGGCCAACGTAATGACTAATTAACTGTCTTAAGTATAAATAATACTTAAACTTTATAGAAAAGTATACTATAATATGACCCTAAATAATTCAAAAATTCACGATATTTTGCCTATACGAGTCTATGCGCGCGAATAAATAAAGAATTTTAGTTTAAATCATAAAATAAAATTAATAATAATCTATTAGTACGTAGTTACGCGCGATATATAATGAAAAATTGACTTATTTATATTATGTTTTCTAGCGCGGCATTAGAACCGTTGTAATTTTATTTTATGATTTAAATTGAAATTCTTTATTTATTTACGCCCCGATAACAGGTAGGCTCGTATAGGCAAAATGTCGTGAATTTTTAAATTATTAAGGGCAATATATTATGGTATATTTTTCTATAAAATTTAAATATTATTCATTAAGTCAGTTAGTCATTAGGTTAGTTAGTCAAGAAATTAATTTCGTGTATTGATATTTAAAAAAGGGGCCATTGGATGTGCCATGCCTAAGCACGCGAATTTCAACTAATATTGGTTAACTTAAATTGTTTATAATTTAAAAAGTATTATAGCCTTGACATTTTTGTATTAGGATTTTTGACTCAAAATTATCTCAGGAACACGTTCTTAAAAGGAAATGCGGTAGAGATGGGACACCTGTATGATGTTCATATATATTTTTTTCTTAAAATTATTTCAAAATTTTTCTAGAATATAAAATATTATTTCTACATAATAAATAAAACCTTTTAGTTTATATTTTTGTACAATTATTTTTAAAATATATCTATATAATGAAAAACATACTATATTATTTCCTAAATTTGCTATTACCGATAATCGGTAAACAATTTAATATACTTACTTTAGGCCAAAAGTTTAGAAACATCGATAAAAACACAGATAAACTATATAATGTACAACTATATAAAACGCAGATAAACAGTTTTTGATTTTATGCAATAATTGTTGGATCTGACAAATTATTGTTTATAATAAAAAAAATATATTGTTTTGAATATTTGAGTAATCTTAAAAACAATTTTTTAAAAGTATTTCCATACTTCCGGTCTGCACTGTAAGAATATAAATATATGTAAGAATATAAATATATATATATATATATATACATAAGGTGTCCCATTTTAATGTCCCACCCCAAATAACTTTTTTATTTTTGATTTTAGAAAAAAATGTTTTAGACAAAAGTTATATGGCTTTGAGGGGAACATAAGGTGGTACCATTAGTGTGACCTTGAATAGGTGCTCGAAGGTCATGTGAAAGTTACTTTCAATTTCTTAAATGGAATCCCCTACTTTTTATTGCACATTCTTGTAGATCATCTCAAGAGCTTTTCAAAACATATAGATAAAATGTTTTTTGGTTAAGTAAATCTGAAGTTATAAAGCTTGAAAGTTACAGTACCACCGGCATTAGCATTATCCAAGATATCCGAACAATGGCTGAAACCTTTTGAATGTTATTCAGGATCATGATCTTGACAACATGTGTCAAGGCCATAATCATTGGAGATTGTTTCTCTTATTTTCATTTTTGAAAATTATTTTTATTTTTTGAAAAAAGAGAAACATTTTCCAATAATCATGGCTTTGACACATATTGTCAAGCTCAAAATCATGAATAACATTCAAAAGATTTCAACCATTTATTCGGACACTTTGGATAATGCTAATGCCGGTGGTACTATTTCAAGCTTTATAACTCGAGATTTACTTAACCAAAAAACATTTTGTTTATGTGTTTTAAAAAGCTCTCGAAATAAGCTACAAGAATATGCAATGAAAAATGGGGGATTCCATTTAAAAAATTCAAAGTAATTTTGTCCTGACCTTGATGATGCCACTTAGGATCAAACCAATGTTATCATCTTATGCCTCTTGAAACTTTACAATTTTTGTCTGAAATATTTTTCTCTCAAACCACGCGATTTCCAAATATTTGACTGTCAAATATAAAATGGGATACTATATATATATATATTAGGTTAGCCCGAAAGTTCTGCGGTTCTCTCATATCTTCACGGATAGTTTGAATTTTGCGCTAATACAGAATGAGAAAGTCCAAACCTCTGTAGTAGAAAGAATCAGTGTAGATCTTTTCGGTAAGAACACCGGTTGTACGGTATAGTAATTACGCGCAATGTTCAAATATATGATCGTCGTATTATTGCAACTTAACAACGAAAATTATTAATTCAATTAAAAAGGAGACTCACGGAAAACAAGACAGAATTAAATCAGACGTTCAATTGAAAAGATCATATGCTCGCCAAATAAAGAGATTACTTATTAATTATAACGAGTCCGCATTTATTTATATACAACGCGTTGATGTACTTACGCGCTACACTTCAGATTGATAAGAAAGAGCAGTCTTTTGTTTAAACAATGTATCCATTCATAATGGCATATGTTCAGTATATTCGATTTTATAGTATCCTTTAAGATGGAAAATAAGAAACAACATTTTTGCAATATTACTTTACTTGCAAAATAAGAAACAACATTTTTGCAATATTGGTTTACTACTTGAGAAATGGGAAGAACACATCAGAGACAGTAAACATAAAATTTACGTAAAGTCTACGGACAAGGTACTGATGATACATTTTGGAGATGGTTTGTAAAATTCAACAAAGTAATTTGACTCTCAAAAACGAGGCGCGATCTGGGCGTCCCTGCACTGTAGATGATGTACTGGAACAAGTTTCGCCAAAAATCCTCGTTATACAAGAACTGGCAGAGAAATTATAAATTACAAAAATTACTTTACATAAGCATTTGAATCTGTCCCCATGAGTGAAAACCGTAAAACTTTCCGGATAATTCTACATATACAGGGTGTCCGATACTCAATAAAGCGCACGTGGGCAGATAGAGTGAGCTAAACACACACACACACACGCACACGCACACACACACACATACCTATACATATTGTATACGTTATGTGCATACATATACAGGGTGTCTCATAATAGGTGTATCACCATTCATGGGTAAATAGAACAGACTAAACTAAACAGAAAAGTCCTCTACCATTTTGCAAAATGCGCAATCATTAACAAGATATTAAT